TAATAAATTGTTTATACAACCCGGCATTAGAATCTTAGATCATAATATACTAGTGCAATAAGATCCAAGCATAATATGGTATATTATATACATAATTTTGTAATATCAACTTGCAACTATACAATTTAAAAATCTAAAAAATACTATTCTATAAAAAAAAAAAAAAATTGTGTATGTGTACTATAGACCTGCAAGGGCCATAAATTTTCGGTTCATTAATTTTATAATCAGGCCCGGCTCGGTCCATACATTTTATCCTCGAGCCCGGTCCGGTAGTTTTATTATACCCGCCAATCAATATTATATTATATTCCTTGTGATTGTATCTACTATCTAGTATCTATCCATAGAGTATACTCTATTACTCTATATGTATCTATCTGTACCAACGTCGGTTTTATCATTATTATTTATTATTTTAAATTGTGATTATTTATTGTCAAAGAAAAATCCTTAAAGAGCTCGGTCAAACCCTTGATTTATTATTCGAAGTCCAGCCCAGCCCGGCCCAAAAAATTTTACAAAAAAAAGCCCAGTCACGGTCCGGAATAAAATTTTAAGATTTAAAAAGCCCAGTCCAACCCTTTATTATATTTCAAAGTCCCGACCCGGTTCTATATCACTACGGGGCGGGCTTTTTAAGGACTAGGTCGGCCCGACCCGGCCCTTGTAGGTCTTTAATGTGTACCACAATTTTCAATAATTATAAATTCTACATGAAAAAAAACTACAAAAGGGTTCTGTATTAAATTTTTGAAAATGTTTGGGGTGCTTAGCCCTTACTAGTCTCCCTCTAATTATCCTATGGTGTCAAGTAAAGCAAATTACTTAGAGTATTTTAACTAATGCGAAAAATGTCATTGGTGAACGCGGTTATTTGCTAACCCGTTACCTACAATGTATCAAATAGTTCAAAATATTTAGCTATTCCACGAGGTGGATATTTAAATGTGGAAAATAATGACTAGTGAAATTATTTTATCTAAATAATAATATTTTATATGGTAAATAACAAGAAAATTCTAAACACGGACACATAGTTAGGAATACAGTAACAATGTAATAGTACCTTATTTTAGTACCTATCATCTATTCTTTTCAATGATTATGAATTATTATAATATAATATATTAAATAACCTATGGCAAATTTCCTAATAAATGACGGTTAAAATTATTTTTCTCGGTCAAAGAGCTTGAAAATGTAATATACCCTCTAATGTACCCTCTATATATAGTTATTTTTTTTTAAATTTAAATTAATAATTATTTAGTTACAACTTACAAGTTGGTATCATGAATTCAAATATATATATTACCTTAATATGTCAAAATAATGTATAATTGTATTCTGTTTATTCGTGTATGTAAGTTATTGACACTGGTCGGCCGTTTGTAAATATTGTAGTTAATGAGTGAGAAAACATAAATATACAGACTTTATAAACAATAGTATTTGGTTATTCAACATAATAAGTTAATTGAAAGAATGAAATTTATAATTAATATTAGTTTCATAAAGTTAGATGAATTAATTGTTAATTTGTAGGTATATTAACATTTTAATTAGGACATACTGGAAATTGTAAAAGAGGTTAAGACTATTATAGAACTGCACCAGATTAAGGATGTAAGAACGATAATTATATTTTAATTAGTTATAATTTTATATATGACTGTATTAAAGTTTTGTTTATATTTCGATCATTCGATGTGAGTTGCCTTTTACTAGTTTGGAACACTTACTTTTTTCCGATGAAGTAATTTATTATGTACATATATCATTGTTATTTATCATTTATTTAAAATTAAAAACAGCATGGACATTAAGAAGTAATATAATCATATTAATAAATAAAATAAAGCTGTATTACTGTGTAATTTTTAGTAGTAATTTATAGTTCAATGAATCTAATTTCAATTTTAAAAATTATATAAAAAAATACGAATGAAAATTCACCAAAATTATAGGATATTATTATTTGATATGATAAATTGATACTAATTTTGAATAAAGTTCAAATTGTATTAAATTAAAAATTTTACATACTAACATCAATTAAATAAAATGAAACTGAAATTATATAATTCCAAATAATGAAAATAACAGCTATATTGAATATTCATTATTCAATATTGGCTTGTGATAAAGTATTATTATTTATAATAACTATTTACATTTTTATTTTTTTAGATGACCCTTGATGCAGTAACTTAATTGTTTGTTTATGTATTTATTTATTTTATAACATTATAATCTATATTATCTTCTTAACTAATATTTTTTAATTGTTTATTGCCTTGAAAATTTATTTTTAGTGGTTATTTCAAAAAAAAAAAAAAAATCATAATAAAATAAGACTGTTGAGATGCATCATTAAATGAAAGCTGTTTTTGGTTAAAAACTACAAAAAAGTATATTGTAGAACCAAAATCATTTTTAACAATTCCTATTTTTATTTGTTTATTTTTTTTTTAAATTTATTTTGTATTCAGTAAATAAGTTTTGTGGCTTGTAATAAAGTTCCTGATTTTTAGAGCTCATTTGAATTGTTAAAAATATAATATTACTGTGTTTAATTCTTATTAATCTAAATTTACTTGGTATATTTTATTACCAGTAACTTATTATTTTGTACACTATGAAATGTAAATATACATTTTGTAAGCAACCTCTTATATAAACTAATTGTTTCTTTCTTTTATAATACACATTTGAAAGTTCTTATGAATATGACAACTATTAGTTTAATTACAATTGTTACTGTTTTTATAAAAAAAAAATTGTAAATGTTAGTATAACTAGTTATATTATGTATAACTAAATATTTATTAAATTAATCTAGCTCTAAAAATCTAAGCCACAAAATGAATATAAAATTGTATTTGACTAATATCAATATATAGTTTTTAACAATGTGTATTATTATAGTAATATTATAATAATACTAATTATTAAAATCAAAATTTACATAATATTCAATTTATATATTAACTATTTTACTCCAGATACTTGTACTCCAAAAAAATGTATAAAACAATAATTGTTATACAAAAGATAACATTACACATTGCGGGGTTTCTATGCATTTGAATGAAAAATATCTGCATTTCCTTTCACCACCATGCACTAAATATATCAGTGTAGTTATATATAATATGTATTGTTGTTTTTGTCAAATATAATTTTATATTTAATTTAATCAATAATTTTGTAACAAAAATCATTGTATTCTTCATCAATGTTTATAATAATTCAGTTAAATATTATAAACACTAATTATAAAATGTATATTTTTTGTCACTGAAAGGAAAACTCAGAAAATATTAAATATAAAGTTGAACTAAATCTACTTTCACATTTAAATTAAATTAATACTGAATTTCAACTTGATATTACATAATGCATTGGTTATATAGATTCATTTGGAACTTGTAATTAACTATAATTAAATGAAATTGTGATTGTGATTAAATACTTAATTTAAGTTAATTTTATACCTGTATTTAATTAATAAATATTTATTGTACAGACATAACTGATAATGTTGTTTTACACTTAGACAGTTAGATATTTAATTTAGAAAACTTGATGATGGAAATAACAAGCTTGTAACAGTGATTTATTTTAAGGAAAAAAAATGTTCTGTATTGATAAAAAATTAATTATTACATTACTCATTGATTTGAATACATCTATTCTAAGTAAATAAAATGTGATAGCATTTATCATCAATTAATATAAACCCTGATATTAAAATCACTTACTGTGTAGCGTCTAATAATGTATGTAATTATTTTGAATAATTTATATTTTTTAGTTAATTTAAAATGTAAAATCAATAAGTTTTAGTACCATAATAGAATTATAGAAGCATTTAAAATACATAGGTACGGTGTACATTCTTATAAATAATAACTATATTTGCAATACAGTATTATTCATTGACTTGAATATATTATAATATTACATGATGTTAATGTGAATGTTGTATACATTTTATAAGTTATAACTAGTTTCAACCAGTCAATGATAAAGAGATTTTTATTGACAGAATATTTTCAATTTACCACAGTTCACATACTTACGATTCTCTGATTATTCTATACTTTTAGTATGGTTTTCACTGAGTATTTTTACAAGTTTAGTGCAACATAATATAAAAAAATGGTTTTACTTATTGCTGGGTAATTGGTAGTGAAGTAGATAGTTACTCAATTTCTTTCTCATTTATAAAAAGGAATGTCTGCATGTTATTGGGTTGATATTTTTCAATTTGAAATGTATTTCAATATTGAAATTTATTATTATTATTAAAATTGCGAATTTAGGTCTGAAAATTTGAAGTATCTTAATGTTTTAATCACAACATTATTTTAATAAATTTAAAACATGAAAAAAAACACAGTTAATGATAGTTGTTAGAATGTAAACATTTTTATTGTACTACATGTAATTACAGATTGTAAATATTTTTTGTTCAATAAAAAAAAAAATTCTATCAATTATCTTGCCACAAAATTTCAATCAAATGATTTTCTGCATAAAAATGTTAGATTGCATATATATTTTATGGGTAGAAACTTACATACATTTATTATAAAAATATAACAAATGCAAAACCTCCTCTTTTTTATACTACTTAATTTTGAGGCATCAGAAGGGTAAATTCATCATTTTGTTTATTGGTCCATAGTTTATAATTGTATAGTTGGTTCCTAGTTTGTAATAAATGTAGAAACAAACATTACTTTTTTAAAAACTAAGTAATAATCTAATATTATTATTACACAATATATATACATTCAAATTGTTTTTAATTAATGCAATTTTCTATTCAAACACGGATTACTATGTATATTATTATAAGTACCAAAAAATATGAACTGACCTATTTAATCTTGTAAGATTAACCATATTTGTGGTTATTATTCAAAATTTATTTTAAATAACTTTATTATTATGTAGATGTAAATTTGTTCATTATTAATGCTCACAATTTACCATGTTAAATTGAATGGCATCCTTAGATTTAAGTTTAACTTTTTGAAGTATAAAACCTACAATAAATAAAACATATTATTGATTAGTTAAAGTCTATTGTCTATAGGTAATGTACAGTTAATAATACAATTCATGTATAAATATGTTAATATGTATGTATATATACAATAATATGTAATTAATAATTATACTTCAAATTACTTGTTCAGTTTTATTGAAGTAAAAACCATTGAATGGAATTCCATTAACTTGTGAATTGGTCGGTCCTTGTTTAATACCAAGCACGGTAATATTTTGTAACACAAAGTTGTCATCAATATAACTATTCATCTCCACTATACTGGAAAATGTAGTGTTCACAAGCTTAAATTGTACTTTGTTATATGAATCATTTTTCCAAGAATCTACAAAAGAACAGATTATGGGCATAATAAAAAAACAAAGTCTCAGTCTGTAAAATTTCATACAATCATACCTAAAGACTTTCCATCATCAAAAAATAAAAAACCAGTTGATTGGTCGTGTTTAGTTGCTACTAAGAGTTCAAAGTGATTTTGACGACTATACCAAGTTAAGTAACATATTTAAAAAGTATGAAACAAGTTAAATGCATTAGCAAAAACAAAAAGTAAATAGAAAATAAATAAATAGTTGTTACACATTATGTACCTTAATTTTGTAGTTAAAGCAGCCATTTGTGTGGGTAAAATATAACCCCCTCGTATCAGTAAGGGTATAGTGTCAGCAGGTGCTGTTATGACAAAATGATTTCCGTTGCTCAATATCACAGTTTTATTGTAAAAGTCATACCATATATCTTTTGGGAGATATACATACACATGATGATTTTTCTTAAAGTAATTATTTTAATATATTTTTTTTACATTTATACTTGTATCTTAAACTAGGTACTAATAAAAAATATTAATAAGTTACTAACTTCTTTTAAAACTGGTAAGATTAGTAAGGCTGCACCCCATAGAAACTGAGTATCTATGCCATATGTATTATCATCAAATGGATATCTATTAAAATATAAACATTTTAAATTACAATGAAGCTTGCATGGTTTTAAATTATTATCTTCAATTACTCAAAAAACAAAGGTCGAACTACAGTTTCTCCGTAAACATGAGCTTTCCAAAATAACGAATACAAATATGGTAATAAATAATATCTAGTAATCAGTGATTTTCTTGCAGATGACAAAACGTTTGATCCTAAAGCTGCTGGATCTTGGTCCTAAGAATATTAAAAGAATAAAAATTAATTACAAAACTTTTGGGTGTTTGTAAAATATATTACTATCATGTACTGGCCATTATGATTCCTAGAAAATGGATAGAAGGCACCTAATTGAATCCACCTTGAACACAACTCAACGGTAGTGTCGTGGTGAAAACCACATATATCTGCCCCAACTAAGGGAATGCCGAATAAATTAAAATTTATTATATCTGAAATAAGAAACAACAATGTAATTTTTGATTTATACTCAAATAAATAACCTGGCTAAGTAGGGACGATCTTAAAACAAATTCATGGGAGGTTTAGTCTTAAGAATCGCCGTCTAGATACAGAAATATCGAACAAATTTGTCAAGTGCAAACTAATATTATTAAAGATATTTGCTAGTGGAGGGGGTGTCACTCCGGCCATGACCCCTTTCAGTTCATCCCTATAGGTAAGCGCTAAGTGTGAAATTTTATAACTAATGCTTGATCCTTGAATGAGTCTAAAAATATAATTATTTCTTGCCAATCATCATAAGACAAATAACTTTGATACATTATGACCTTTGTCAAAGCATGGGGTCACAGCATAGAAATGTGTTCATTACTTACAGATTAAAAAATTATGATACCTGTGATGGATTGTTTCATATCATCCCATGAAGAGTTTATGTCTCCAGTCCAGTGACCAGCATAATGGCCAAAACCAGGATAAGAAGAACGTGAAATGACGAAAGGCCTAGTATTCCTTATTTCTGACAATGCACTAACAAAAGTATAAAGTTAAAAATAATATTGAATACTTCATACTTGTATAATTTATAATAAAGTATATTTTAGAATCTGAGTGAAACGATGAATCTATTGATTTTACAATGATGTGTGTTTTTTTTTTTATTTATTTTTTTTTGTGTCTGTGTACACGATAAGTAGTCGAAATAATGCTTCGATTTTCGACTTCAGTATCTTGTTCGATTGGAAAGTGAATATCGTTGGTGCATTGGGGAGGTCAAAATTTAAAATACCCAGTACTTTTCAAAAGCGCCAAGAAAAACAAAAGAATAATTAAGGAAAAACGTGAATTTTTACGCAAAATCGATTTTTCAGGAAATTGAATTTGGTTTTTCGTGTAACTTCAAAACAAATGACCGTAGATACATGAAATTTTCACTGGTTGTTTATATTTGCATCTTCTATATACGATAACATTTTCAAAATATTTTGATTTATTTTGAACAGTTTAGGGACATTTTCATTTTTCATTTTTTTTTAGTTTTTTTTCTAGAAATATCAATAAAATTTTATTTGTTGGTTAAAAAAATTTGAAAATTTAATAGAAGGCTCCTAGTATATTGTTTCAAAGGCAGATGAAAAACATTAAAAATCGTTAGTCACTGTAATGATATGATAACATTTTGTAATGATAATATAGATAACCTAAAAAATGTTATGTAATAAAAGACAGTTTAATAACGAAACGTGTGTTATTACAATGGCGCAGTCGGGAAAAAAACGAAAATGTGACTTGTAATTTGTATAATTCGTAGAAAAAAGTAGCCTAGTTTCATGAGCAAATAGACAAAAGTGAGTTAGTGAGTATTTGTGTTAAATCGGTCAACGGGATAAGTTGTGTTTGCGTTAAACGGAAAACGCGATGGAACAGGATAAAGACTACATACTACCTTTTGAACCTTCCAATTGGGAAAAATGGAAGAGATCTATAATGATATTTATTTTGTCTCAAAATATAACTAAGGATACACAAAAGCAAGCTATCATACTGCACAGAGGTGGACAAGAGCTACAAGATATTTTTTTGGAATACCAGAGCATGGTAATCCACCTGATGGAACAACGGTATTTCAACACACAATAAATTTGTTAGATCAGCACTTTATACCAAAGGTAAATCCAGTATTTGAAAGACATGTTTTCAGGAAAATAAGACAAGAAGTTAATGAGTCAGTCGGACAGTTTATATCAAAGCTAAGACAACAAGTAGCTAAATGTGGTTTTGCTGATGCTGACACAGAGATGTGTGATCAAATTATAGAACATTGTACATCTGACGAACTTAGACGGAAGTTACTCGAGAAAAATAACTTGAGCTTGTCAGAAATCATAGAAGAGGCCAAGCGGTTCGAGTTAGTAGTGCAACAAGCAGATACACTTGGAAAAAACGGAAAAGAAATGGTAAATAAAGTTACAAAGTATGAAAAAAAAAAGCAGTATAAAATGGAAAAGTTGAAAACCAGAAGTAAGGCATGCTACAGATGCGGGAACGAAAATCACTTAAAAAATGATCCTAGTTGTCCGGCGAAAGACAAAAAATGTGGGCGTTGTGGTTTAATCGGGCATTTTAAAGCGTACTGCAGAACAAAGTTACCTGCAAATACAAAAGAGCCAGGTAAAAGATATTCACAGCAAATGTCGAGGAGTAATAAAATAAATGCAGTCGAAGAAGCAAAAAGTGACGATGAAGCTATAGTGTTCCAAATATCAAAAAAAAAAGATTTGGTGACAAATTTGGTAATATGCAAAGTTGGTGGCACAGATGTTAAATTCTTAATTGATTCAGGATCAAGTTGTAATATAGTATCAGAACAAACCTGGAAAAGAAATAAAATCAATTATGAAAAAAAAGAAAGTGAAGTATCTCAAAAGTTATATGCATACTCTAGCAAGAAACCACTTGAAGTTATAGAAAAAGTAAGAACAACCATCAAGGTGTCAGACCGTGAAGAAATAGTGGACATATTTGTGGTAAAAGGTAATAACCAATCATTACTAGGGTATGAAACTTCAGTAAAGTTGGGACTCTTAAAAATTGGATTAAATATAAATGAAATAACGTCAAAAAACTTTTCAATACAAAAGTAAATACCCAAATCTGTTTAATGGGATTGGCAAGTTAAAAGGAAAACAGGTTCAACTGCACATCAACGAAGTTATCAAGCCAGTTGCACAACAACATAGAAGGATTCCAATACATTTGAGAAATCAACTAGAAAATGAACTACTAAGACTTGAAAAATTAGACATAATTGAAAAAGTGGATGGACCAACACCCTGGGTCTCTCCCATAGTCTTAGTTCCTAAAAAAAATGGAGAAGTAAGACTTTGTGTTGATATGAGAAGACCAAACGCAGCCATCGAAAGAGTGCGTCACGTGACCCCAACTATTGACGATATAATAAGTGCTGTTAATGGGTCGAAAGTATTTTCAAAATTAGATCTCAATGAAGGATACCACCAGTTAGAGTTAGAGTGTGCTTCAAGGTCTATTACTACATTTAGCACCCATGTTGGCTTAAGACGATACAAAAGACTGAACTTTGGAATTAACAGTGCGGCAGAAGTTTTCCAAGACGAAATCAGACAGGTACTTGTAAATATTCCCAATGTAATGAACGTTAGCGATGACATACTGATATATGCCAAATCTCAAGATGAACACGACAATATCTTGGAAAAAGTACTTAGTCGGTTACAGGAAAAAGGACTGACATTAAATTATGAAAAATGTTTATTCAGTGTCAAGAAGCTCACATTCTTTGGGTACCAGTTTAGTGAACAGGGCGTCGAGATAGATAAAAAAAAAATCGAAGCATTTATACAACTCAAGCCACCATCAAATGTGTCTGAGGTAAGAAGTGTACTAGGCATGATAAACTACTGTGGAAGATTTATTCCAAACCTAGCAGAGAAAACAAAACCATTAAGAAATCTAATTACAGCAAACAGAAAATGGTCATGGAGCACCACAGAACAAACAGCATTTGAAGAGTTAAAAGAAAGTATTGTAAAAAATGTAAGTAACGCTTACTATGACATACATAAACAAACTGAATTAATTGTTGACGCAGGACCAGAAGGCATTGCTGCCATTTTGGCACAATCACCGAATAAGATAATTGCTTGTGCAAGTAAGGCACTAAACCAAGTTGAAAAAAGATACTCACAGATAGAAAAGGAAATGTTAGCTGCAGTATGGGCGGTTCAACATTTCAAATTGTATTTATTGGGTTCCAATTTTATACTAAAAACAGATAACAAACCGTTAGTCTCAATCCTAAGCAGTCAAACAAAAGAGACATCTGTAAGGTTGGAACGATTCAGATTAAAGCTACAAGGATACAACTTCAAAGTAGTACATACGAAAGGTAACACGAATCCATCAGATTTCATGTCAAGACATCCAATAATTAATAATATGAAGAACAACGACTGGGATAGTGAAGTGGAAGAACATGTGAATACAATAGCAGAACTAGCAATACCAAAAACAATGACAAGAAAAGAAGTAGCAGAACATTCGAACAATGACGAGGAGATCACAAAAGCAAAAAAAGCACTATTGGAGAAAACTTTGCTAGAATCAGAATATAGACCATTCAAAGATGAGCTGGCAATTACAAGTGATGGACTATTATTAAAGCAGAACAAAATAGTAATACCCAAAACGTTAAGAAAGAAAGTAGTTAAATTGGCACATACGGGACACCAAGGTATTGAAAAAACAAAATCATTGTTAAGGAGCAAAGTATGGTTTCCAAACATGAATAAAATGGTAACAGCAGAAACGAACACATGCATTCCATGTCAAGCAGCTACACCAAAAACAAGTACAAATCCGATTATGAGTTCAGAGTTACCGCCAGGACCATGGGAAAATTTGGATCTAGACTTTGGTGGACCATTTCCCAACGGTAAATATACACTTGTTATAATAGATGAATATTCTAGGTATCCAATTGTAAGAATAATCAATAATTTAAAGACTGAAACAGTAGTCTATGAGTTAAAAAAAATGTTCATGGAATTTGGTTTACCTGAGTGCATAAAAACAGACAACGGACCACCAATGAATGGGACATTGTTTAGTCAATTTCTAAATTCATTTGGAATTAAACACAGAAAAGTAATGCCATGTTGGCCACAAGCGAATGGGACTGTGGAGCGCTTCATGAGAACATTAGGTAAAGCAATCAAAACATCAATAATTTCTCAAAAGAAATGGGAAGAAGCAATTGATGAGTTCCTGATGTCATATCGAACAACACCACATACCACCACAAAGGCAACACCAGCATCACTAATGTTCAGAGGAAAATTTAGGACTTGGTTACCAGAAATGAAAAACATAGAGACAAATGATGATGACGAGGAAACAGACACAAGAATAAGACTAAACGATACAAGGAATAAAAACATAAGTGCAACAAACAGTGACGCAAGACATGCAGCAACAGAGCATGAACTAGAAGTTGGAGACACAGTACTAGTTAAACAAAAGGAAATAAATAAATACTCAACACCATTCAACCCAGAACCTCTGGAGATAATTGAAGTCAAGGGAACCATGATCACTGGGAGAAGAGATGACCAAGGACAAGTAACTAGGAACGCGTCACACTTCAAAAAATCACTACTGAAGAACCAAGGAGAGGTGAAAGGCTGAAGAGAACTCCAAAACATTTTGAAGATTACACTGTGTAAACTTTAAACTGATAAACATTACTATTAGACATAAGTTAATAATTTGTTACATTTGTCACTAATTTATTTTGTATTTTGTATTTTGTTAAATTAATAGGTTTAATTAAAATTTCAGTTCTCACTCATAAGCAGGGGAGAGATGTAATGATATG